CCCAAGCCCCCAAGGGTGTGTGCCATGGGAAGGCACACCTTTCACTAGACCAGACTACCCAGAGCTCCATCCAGCCTGGCCTTGAACTTTTCCAGGGATGGATCATCCACAGCTTCTCTGGAAACCTTTTCCAGTGCCTCACCATTTTCACAGTAAATAATTTCTTCCTAATATCTAACCTAAACCTGCCTTTTTTCGGTTTGAATCCGTATCTCCTAGTCCTGTCACTACATGATCTGATCTTTCTTTAGAAGATTATTTGTAGGCTTTTCTAAATTTATATAAGTTAAAAATATGGAAAAACACATGCATGAGGTAATAATTAATTCAACAAAAATATTGATAAAATATCCACTAGCAGATTACTTAGGCTGACTATTTGGCAGTTACTATCTTCCATGTAGTCAAGCTGAAATACATTGCTCTACTTCCTTAAGTGGTTACAAGAGAGAAAAGAAAAATTGCTCTTTGCTGGAGAAAACTATATTTTTCAAAGAGTTTGCACTTTTTAGAATGACTTTATTAAACAGACAATTCTTTCAGAGATATTTACCTGACCTCTCTATACTTTCAAATCTGTATATGTTGGCTTGTAAGCCTCCTATTTGTACTGCACTTTATAGATGACTCTGTATTTTTATAGAATACAATAACAAAAAATACTAGCTAAGAAATCCTTAAGAATTTGAAACATTGTGTAAAACAGAGAAAATCGGCAGGTGATATGTGAGCTCAGTTTTCAGTTTGATGAAGTTCTATTGTATACATAAGTAACAATTATGTCTCCCTTTACAAAAAGAGTTCTACATTCCTAAAATGAATAACCGTTGATTTTGAATGAAAAGCAGAACATCTCCATTAGTGTATATGATTTCAGCCAAGAAAAATGGCTCATAGGAGTTATTTTTCTATCATACTGGAACTGATATTTTAATTCAGAATTATTAGAATTAAAATAAGCTTTACCCTTCTCTGTTATCTCACACTGTAGCTCAAAATTTTGATAGCTGTGAATCAGGGACTTGATCTTAGTATTTCAAAAGCAAGATCTAGACTGCAAAGTAAATGATAAGAAATAAAGGGAGGAAAAAAAAACATGAAATAGATTTAAGATGGAAAGAAGCAGAAAATGTGCTTTGATTAACTGAAAGGTTAATTACTGAAAGACTTCCTCCACATAGCATACTGTTAATTAGAAAGTTGGAGCAATGTGTGATTTAATTTAACACTATGCAAAAGGCCAGCATGACATAGTAAGCTGCTTGATTCTTCTTGTGTTTGTGAAACATATAACTTGGTGTTTCATTCTACTCTGGACTAAAAGAAAGCTGCTTTTCCTTTTTTCTTTATTTTTAATAGATGAAAGACAGGGTTTAAAAAAAATGAGACTTTTGTAGGGATGACACCAATTAGACACCATGGATTAGTATTCTCACCCACCACTGCCACCTTAGCTCTGGTCTGTTTAGCACATTGAGCACAGGACAGACCTGCTCTGTACAACAGGGTTTCTGGTCACCTCCAGAGAAATATTATGGTGTCTTCTAGAAAGCAACAAGTCTTGAAACTTACATTCCTTTTTCTAGCATTTTGGGAAAATTGTTCTCATAAAAATAGGAAGTATAATGCTAAAAGTGTCCCACAACAATGGGACTTCCAGCAGAATGCAAGACTGCCCTGGTTATGTCTCACCAGAAACTCCTTACTCCTTATGACTTTTGGAAATACTCTAAGCAAACCATCAGCAGCAAAAATGGGAAGGTACTGACAATAAGAAAAATGTATGCAGAGCCCAGAAACCTCAATAAATTTGTCATCTTCTGGGTGTACCTCAGGGGCTGAAGGACTGTCAAATTCCTGATTTACAAGGAGCTACAGAAATTGACAGAATGGACACAATATTGGATAGGGAATTTGAGGGAGTCTGTGAGAGATCATGAGATTTGAGTCCCTGTTGTCAGTGGATGTATAAATTTAACAAATTTTGATGGGAAAAGTTTTTATAGGACAATCAAAAAGACAGACTGGAATTACCAATGTAGTACCAGGCATAGACAAGGCATAAAACCTAGAATTAATTATTGTGTCACCATCTCCCACACTTTGGACTGTGAAGGCAGTACCTTGAAGATGGTTGATAGTACGGTGAGCAGAAACAGCAACACTTTCAACTATCAGGAAAGAATTAATTCTCTGGTTTTAGTCACCTAAGCATTAGTCATATAATCCATGCTGCTTACACAGGTACTCATTATAAAGTAATCAAATGTATAGTAAGATAGCTGTTTCAGAAAGGTGCTCTGAATAGATAAGCTCTTTCCATTTACTCCACTTTTTCAAGAGTAAAGTCAGGTAAGATGACTCCTGTCTTTAGATATTGCTATAGATTTTGAGAAGTCTAGAAATGCAGTCATTTTCTTCAAATTATATTTGAAGCAGGTTGATAGAATCCCATCACAGTAGTAAGCAAAGGACAATGGAAATAACAAATGCATGGCAAGCAGCATGAGCCAAGTAGGAGGAAAAATGCAAAATCTTCCTAGTGCTATACAATTAATTTTCCAAGGATGTAAAAATCCACATTGCCACAGACTAATAATTAGGGACTGCTTATTGTCATTCAAGGACTTTTAGTATGACCTGTTCTTGTGTAATTACTTTAATTTTTCGTTGCAGAGTCAGGATTCCCATTTGCATTTATGCTGCTTTATGGATAATTCATTAAAATCTACCCAGCACAGACTAACATTAATTTGAAAAAAATGGCTGCCTCTTCAGCCTTAGAGTTATTTCTATTTAACTAACCCATGTTAATAGCAGTTAACTAAAGAAGAAATAAACCAAGAAATACAAGGCGGTGCAACAAGGAAGATAATAGAAAATATCTCTCAGCCAAAGAAAAGGTCCTCTCAATCCTCCATCTTTGGGACAGAAGTTTTGATACCATTTAGTTTCACGTAAGCAAGCCGCAAATACACAAGTTTAAAAAAGTATTGGAAAGGAAAAGGGAAGGATCACTTCCCATTCCCATTCAATCCCCAAATTTAGGGCCCAATCCCAATTTAGGGCCTAGTAAAAAACTAGAGGTCTCTCAACAGCTTCTCCTGTAACAAACCATGGCAACCACCTGGTTAAGTGTCTTTACTCTGTAGTGGCACAGGTTTACCAAGGAAGCTATAGTTTTCTTTCCCCATACTTCTATCTTTTCTTCTAGTTCCATGGGATCTACAGGGTAATGTCATAACTGGAGAAATAGAAGAAAATGGCAATCGGGTCTGCTTTTGACAACAAAACTACTAAAAAATGTATAAAATTATTAAATAAACTTGTAGCATTGAATAAAAAAGTCAGACCCTTTATCAGGTCTGAAAAACCATACATATTTTAGTCTGAACAGACATTATACTTTTTACGGTGCATCATTTCTGGTGGAGTTAAAAAAAGAGAAATAGTTTAGACTGAGAAATATTTGCCAACAAGACAAACCTGCAGTCACAGACATCTAATTCTCTAAGCTTTTATGATTAATATTTTATGGCCCTCACTGATCTGCCCAATCTTGGGGAAAAATATGGCACAGCTAAAGAATTTATCAAACAGGAAGTAAAATGCAAACTACAATAGAGATGTCATAGTAAAGTATTGTTTGTTTACTGTTGGCTGAAACATTGTATGGAGTGCTTTATTTGAGCAGCAAAAAAACAACATTAGCATACACAAGTATGATTGCATACCCATTAAGAGAAAAATATGATGAATGTTATTTTTAAGGTGTGGTTTTTTTAACTCTACCTAAGCACTTCATCTTATACAGTCATTCGATGAAGTAACAACCATTCCCTTTGCTGCAGATTTCTATAAGAAGAATTTCAAGTTTAGCCTATAAACATTTTTATTTTATCAGCATTAGAAAAAAATGTAAAAAGTAGATTATTCTTTTTCTGCATTTACTGGTGAACCTCAATAATGCATCAAGGACCATTGACTGTGGTAAGGACATTTAAGGAGACCATACCATTCAAATAATTTTGTTAGTGAGTCTGTTTGCTTTAGTGAAATGTGAAAATATAAGAACAGAAGGACTGTTATTGCTTTGCAATAACTTTGTCAGTTATGCTGAGGTGTAGCAGGAAAAACACATTTGCCTATGGCAAAGAGGAAACAATGAATTTACATAGAAAAACATTAGTTGTAATTCAATTAATACATGCCAGTTACAAAAACATGAATCATAATTTGATGATAATGTACTGATATATGAGGTTAAAAGATTTGCTGAACAATCCCTGGGTTAAGTTCCTTGTTTATCCTGCCTAGACTGTGCTGTGTGGCTCAGGTCACAAGGACACAACTCTGAAATCTGCAGAGTCCAGAGCAAACATTGGCACAACTCCTGATCAGACTAAAGTAAGCTATGAAAATGAGGCTCTGGTTTGTGATACACTCCTCTGTACTGTGCCAGCTACATAAGAGAAGTGACCAGCTTCATCATTATCCCTTTTAGTCACAGGATGTTGGTGTGATATTGAGCAGCTCCTGAACATTGACAAGTCCAAAGACACTAACTCTCCAGGAAGGTTTTCCTGATATACAGCCCTTGTGATGGCAGTTGTTTTATGGAGTCACAGCATTTCCACTTCCAAGACAGAAGTGCTGGTTGGGGGGTGGTCAATGGAGTTCACACAGATCAATTCCTACATGGAATGAGGCTATAACTAACACTAGTTATATATAGTTATATATAACACTATATAGAAAAGGCCAGCTGTGGCTTTGTCTAGCTGAGGATTGAAAATATCCAAGGACATTCTAAAACCTTCTTGGGTACCCTGTTCCAGTGCTGCCCTGTCCTTCCTGCATATTTTTCTTGCCCAGGTATCTAAGCTGATACTCTCAGGATGTAATCTCTGACACTGGTAGAGAACTAAAGCTACAATTGCATTACCTAGTATTAAATATGAAAATTAAATATGAAAAAAAAAAATAATAAAAACACTTACAACATTTCATTTGTGCTACCAGATGCAGGAACTGAAATCTTCAGTGCAAAGTCATCTCACAACAGCTCATAAGAAAGACATGAAAACTCTCCTAGTTGAATGCCTTACCATTTGGATATCCGAGTCAGAAACTGAAAGACAAGAAATGAAAATACATTTTTCAAATATCACCAACTTTATTAGTAATGACTATGGTAATTGCTACCAGTTTAGATCAATGGGAAAATATTCTAGTATCTATAATACAATTAAAATGCAGGTGATATTCAGTCATCTGTATTTTAGAATTTGATAGTTAATAGTCAGTGTTAGCAATGTTCAAGTAAACCCACAGCCTCATAGCACACCCTCAACAGCAGTTCAAAATTCATATCTGGGAAGAAATAAGTGCAAAGGAGCTGATAGAAGGAAGGCAAATCACAGCTTGAAGTGTGCTATCTCTTAAGATGCCTTATTTGAATGAATATAGCCAGCTGAAAATCTGCCAGTGAATCTCCAATGAATCAGTAATGTTTTCATTAAATCAGATTACCCTAATTCCGAAAGCATTATTGAACAACTATAAAAAGAGGAGAGTGCTACAATAAGTGGTGTATTAGGAATATGAGGTCATATTTCTTATTGTCCTAGCAGCTGTTCTACAAACTGCAGAAGAAAATGCTTTGAGAAGGATACCTGGAGAGTGGAGAACAGTGGGAAGGGCAAGGGCAAGGGCAAGGGCAAGGAGAAGAACCTTCATTCAGGAGCCAACAGATCTAGCTACAGGTGAGTAAAGAACACAGTATCTTTGGCAAACTGCTAATCATTTAATCTGGGACAATGTTACAACATACAGTTTCCTACTCATTAACACCACTATAATTCTGCTGCTAAAATGAAACAAGAAATTTTTATCCTGTGCTGAAATGAGAAATTGCAGTTTCACTTAAAATTATAGTTTTATAACTTCCCTGTGTTGGAATGAAAACAGCACAGGATCCAGTACTAAAATAAATGATTCAGCCTGTCCTTTGCCATTAAATCCTTAGTGATGTTACCTGTTAAACACAAGATTTGAGTAGACAGATAGATTGCTTCTGTGATTCCTCCACATACTAAAGCATCCCATGGTCTTCAGAACAAAATGAAACCTGAGTATATAGCATAAAACTCCCTTTACAAATAGCCAAGAAAATTGCTGAAATGATAAATTCTTTTATTACTGTAGACATAAATGATGGTCAATGGTGTATTTGCTTAGACTGTTGGGACTTTAACACAGCTATAAAAAGAGAGCTGTTAAATTATGGATGATGATGATGATAATGATAATAATAATAACAATAATAATGCTAAAACAAAGAGAGCATGTCAAACTGCCAAAAGAAAAAAAAAATCAGAGCATCATTTGGAAAAGCAGAACTCATCCTAAATCCTATGCATCCTCAGGCTTCCAGCAATGAAAATCATCTCAGCATTAAGCATTGTGGGGAGTAAAGATTCTTACAGTGTCAGCTAGTAATAGCCTCATGTCTGGCCATTTATCATGAGGCTGTGCATGTGCACACTAGAAAAAAAAGAGGTAAAAAAAGCTGAAAAGAATTCAAATACACAGAAGTCTAATCCTAGTCACTGAAAAATAATTAATATATAATTTAGCTTTAAAGTCTGACATTTATATATTGCATTGCTTCCACTATATGACAATAATATTCTGAGATAATAAAAATTCTAGCTCCCGGCTCATGTCTCAGAAAGAAGTGACTTTCTACTGAAGAGTTTCTGCTTGTGATAGAGGAGTAGAAACAGCACAAACCAAACTGATCAAACAGTGAAAAGGCAAAAATTATACTGCCCCCCTTTATTTTTTTTTTAATGGAGAAGGCTCAAAAAAAGTTACTTGGTTTGTGCAAATTGCCACAGGTCTACTGAAATTGAAATCACCTTTTTCTGCCCTCTCAGAAATTTTTCTTCAGTTTAAGTTTCCCTTCACCAGACTAATTTTTCATATCAATAGACAAAGAAAAGGAAGGTAAACCATGAATACTGTTTCTTAATTTCTCTCCAGTTACTGATCAAAAGCTGTTGCTGATTCTTTGATGTGTATAAGCTACTGAAAATAGTGACTCAGAATCATGCCTGGAAATTATTCTTAAATACTTTTTTACATAGCTTCGATTTTCATATGTTGCATATTCATAATATATTGTCCTCGTATTTCTTCGTGCTAAGGGCAGGATCTTATAACTGGCATATTATGGCATTCTAGAACAGTACTGGAAGGGAGTTCACACCAATGTTCTTTCTAATCTGTTAAACAATCATAAAGGAGATTTTTCTCTTTCTAGTAGTCCTCATGGATGATAGGCAAGCCTGTGCCACATTCTTCCAGTACTTATTCTTTAATACCTTGAAATCTAGCAAAAGACTTTCGCAGGGCACACATCTCCCTTTGTTGTCTGCCAGAAATGCATGCTGGCAGCTGCTCTGAAGTCCATTCACTGAACCTGCACCATTCCTAGAGCAAAGCTCTGCTAGATGTGAGGGACGCTGTGCCAAGTCAGCCGGTATTTGTACTAGGCAGGCACTGCTCTTGTGCCCAGCGTGAACCTCGAGGGCTGCCTAAAGATTCAAGGAAGGAAAGCAGGGGATGGAAAAGGGCTGTTTTTACATAGACTCATCTCTTTTAGCAAAGGCAGTCTCTGAAGTGTAAAGAGGGGGATATTTTCCAGAGACATCAAGTATAACTGTTAAAGAAATTTATATAAGCTTCCCTGAAAATGTGAAATTCAATTTGTCTAGTGAAATCTATGCATTTGTATAAGTCCAAGAAAATAAAATAAAGAAGTAAAAATACCTATTATTTTATAAATACATTTTTTTAAATTTAGCATCTGATATCAGCTTTGATTGTTTTTCACAGCAATAGAGAAGTTTTCATGTCTGCAAGTTGGGCTGGAATATTTAAAGCTTTACTTGAATGGCTCAAAGTACTAATTTAACTCAAACTCCAATTCTTCTGAACTTTAAAACTGGTCTGTATCATAATTTTAGGCACTATTCCTCTTGCATCTGTGAATAAATAAGTGCTTGCTAACAAACAGATGTAAAAGACTTAAAATTAGAATTTAATATGATATTAAACTCTACACTTGGAGTTTTAAAAAACTTTACTTTTATCTTCCAATTTTTACTTAAATTTAACTTTTAATTTAAGTATTACCTCTGCATTACCTCTTTTTTTCCTCTTTAATTTTATTTTTGATATTGTAAAGTTTTACACAGCCACTCTATGGTTTTATACTGCTAAAGAAGTGCACCTTTCTTCCTCAACAGTCAGTGTCTGTCAGAAGCCATTTAATCTTTCTAATCATCTATACTACTCATTTAGTAAGATTAATGTCTCATAATTGTTATTGAATACTGCATGCAAATAGTGTAGAAGATTTTCATATATGTGTTCAAATCAAACCACTCTGTTTTTCTTTCTCCATTTCAGCAGAAATACAAACAAGATTATCTATCTATCTGTCTGTCTATCTATCTATCTATCTATCTATCTATCTATCTATCTATCTATCTATCTATCTATCTAACTAACTAATAATTCAGTAGCTAGGTTTATAGAACAGACTGCTCTTTCTTATTTATTGGGGCAGGAGAAATGATTGCTTCCTGAAGACTGACAAAGTTATTCCAGTGTTAATCTTGTGTAAATGTCAGAAGTACCTTCCTAGGAAGTGAGGTGTTTGTGAAAATCAGAAACCACTACAAACCCAATCTGAACCCTCAAACATTTCCAAACCTTTCATAAACATAATATTTTTTTTTTCCAAAGTCAATAGTTAGAGCCAAGTGAACAGCTGCAGTGTTCTGCAGTGCCATACATCTACACACATTTAGGCAACTCATACCGTGACATGTTGTGCTGGGAAAAGGTCTACAAGGCCAGAAAAACCATGTAAAAACAGGTTGGTCCCACAAGTGATTTTTAATTCTCACTCATGTCATGAATGTATTTCTTTCCTTTAATTTTAAAATGTTTTAAAATAGAGCTGTATAAAAAATAAAAATATAACAGTATTACACAATTGCAATTAGCACTTATTAAACGACCAATGAGGTAAACATTTTTTTCATGTATACTGTAAAAAGGGAAAAAAACAACATAAACATAGTCCTCAGCAATGGAAGCCTACCATCTAATGGATAAATATGGCATCTAACTATTTTGATTTTTTTTTTGTTTCCTAAATATCTGTACATACAGAAAAGAGTGGCAGAGGGAAGGAAGAGGGAAATAACATTTAAAGTTAATAGAATGACAGAAACATATTCAGAGTTTACTTAATTCCAATTGCATTGGGATCACTATGACAACTAATAATGCTCCACTAAGGCTAAGAGTAGAACAGAAACAAAACCAAGAACTGATAAGACTTGAATTCATGGTAAGCAAAGTGTAAAAATAAGTCATTGTTTGCTAGTTTACCACCATAAAAAAACCCCAAATTTATATCAAGCATGGAGGAAGTATATGCTTTGCATATAATTATGAGTTTTTAAAATATTTAATGGCAGAGTGGATGCGCTACATATTGTATTCTGCCCGTATGAAGTCACATACTATAGTATTAAAGTGTCTATTCAGATATGATAGTAATTAATTTTAAAAACAATTCAATGTGAAAGAACATATTAGAAGACAATTCAGATACTTCTCAGTAATTACAATATTGTACCTGAAGAAAAATTAATTTAGTGTTGTGAATATCTGAAATGGTTTTTCACACTTTCACACTTTACAGTGTAACTGTAAATGTATTGTAATATTTTCCATTTGGTTCTTAAAGAATTGAAGTAGTAAACTTATTTACATTGACAAAATGTCACTGAAAATTCTTTTATTAAATGATAGGACTTAAAGTTCTGCTTCCTTTGTTTATAAATTACTTCTATGTTTTATTTTTTATAGTCCTTATAAAAATAAAAGTGAAAATTTTGTCAGAATAAAGACAGGCAAATTAAATTTAGAAGTACTATTGACAGAATAGGAACATTTTAATGTGTGTTAGAATTTTAGAGCTATCGATATGGCT